AAGAGTCAGTTCTTAGACTTTTGCTATTCACTCTCCTGGGAACCACCTAACTAATAGTTGCTTGAGTTGAAACAAGGAAGCATGTATTTTCTCGCTAAACTGCTCGAATTTGGATGCGTCTCCCTTTAGAAACGACAAGACTTAAGAAATAATAGCGGCGAAAACTATGATCAGATTTTAGCTTAAGATAAAAGACATTCAGAAGAACCGAAACGAATTATACATATTGTTTCATAACTCGCCACTAAGTATTAACCTCCATAGAAGACACACACACACACACACACACACACACACACACACACACACACACACACACACACACACAATGATGAAGCATCTTTACATTCTGTGATGAAGAATATAATGTAGCTTTTGTTCATTGAATAAGCGTTTGGTTCTGGCAAGGAGAAAAAAAATATATCACTTTGATAAATCGATTAGCCTGTACTAGATGGTGCAGCTACGGGAAGTATTTGCACAGGTCTTTTAATCTATTTTTTGTTTGATTTTGTTGCAATATAGAGGTGCTTAAAGCTTTTCGTGTTTCACGAAATATTTATATTTGTTGTCTTGAAAGAAGCGGAAAATGCCACCTGACCGCTACAGGTGTTGCCTTTCGATAAACAAACCATTCCAGGATATCGTATTTGAAGAATAACACAATACAAATTCAACGACAACTAATATCACGTGCTGTTAGCAATTGTTTGAAGAAAATAAAAAATCAAATGATTTACTTAGGTTAAAATAAATATCCACTTATACACTCACTGGTCATTTATATTCGACAAATCATACTCTTTGTTACAAACTACCTAGGGTTTTAACCTCATTAAAAAAATGCTAATTACGCTATGTTTACTTCGATTTGTTGCCAAATGTGCATAGATACACATATATATACTTATATATATATATGTATATATACATATGTGAATATATATATATATATATATATATATTATATATATATATACATACATATGTATATATACATATAATATATATATATATATATATATATATATATATATATATATATATATGAACACACACATATATATGTGTGTGTGTATTAATATATATGTACATATGTATTTACATATACATATATATAAGCCACACACACACAACACGTATATATGTGTGTGTATTAAATATATGTACATATGTATATATATATACATATATAAGCACACACACACACGCGCGCGCGCACACACACACATATATATATACTCACACCTTTGTCCTTTGATCATTATCTTCTCCTTTCAGGGTCTACTCCGTTACACTCGCAGCCCAGAAGGTCACGAGGCGGCGGCCGAGGAGCTCATCGTCAAGGGCGCCGATGTGAACGCAAAAAAAATGGTGAGGCAATCTTAAGGAAGACAATTTCGATTTTATATATAAAAATTCAGGGACATATTAAAGGACTTAGATATCACCATTTCCATGTTATTTAATCAGTTTTACTTGCATGAATTACCATGTTATTGTAATAAATATTATCATTATTTATATCAACCATATTATCATCAGTATTATTGCTATTGATATATATATATATTTTATATATATATATATCTTTTTTGTCATTACCATCATTATTACTAATATCGTTATAGTAAAAACGCCATAGAAGAAAGATTTGGGAGAAGATATTCGAAGGAATGAAAGGAATTAAGACTGTTATAAAGCAAAATCCATATTAAAAGCAAATTAGATACATAAATGAATAAATAAATAAAAAGATAAAATAAATAAGACTGTTAGATGATAAAGAATGCCAAGGGTATTTTTTTATAAAATTAAAATCAAGACGGAAGGCATTTTGCTGGTGCTATTCATAGATGGTACGTGGCTTGAATACATGTATCACAAGTATGACTCCCCGTACATGGCTTCAAGCATGACTCTCTGTAAATGGCCACAGAAATGGCTCTCGGTAAATGACCTGAAGCATGACCCCATGCAATAGTACACTCAGCCTCCTTTCGGGATATCAGTGGGTCTGGATAGGTACTAATTTCAGCTGGTCATTCGGCACTTGTGCATCTAACAACTCCATTCACTTCATTCCTTTCATTCCTAGCTAGCCGTACATATGTATGTTCTCCTTTTCTCTTTTATTTATCATCGGGAAAAGGAATAAAAAAGTAAAGCGCATCTTATTGCACACTTCACTTGGCTGCTGGAAAAGGTCACAAGGCGATGGAGATGTTGATCGGCAAGGGATGAATAACGACGACAATAGTATCAGTAACTATAGCAATGGTTATAAAGTTAACAGGAGTAAGTGGAAAATGAATGACAGCAGCCATCTCCCTCGCGCACGTTTCAACTCATTTCCTGTTGTAGTATGATGGGCGTTATGACAGGCTCATAAAGTTCTCTGCTCCACGTTGTCATGTCACTGATTTCGACTCTCTTTCTGTCTCTCATTAATTTTATTATTATTCCTTTTGTACACATAAAAAGGTATGAAAAATCAAGAAATTTCAAGATAACGTTTGGTGACCATTATCATTTACCCGAATTTCCATGTTTATTCAGAGGTGGCATTACAGCAACATGCGCATGCAAATACGCACACACGTATGTATGTGTATATATATACATTTATATATATATGCACGCACACAAACACGCATATGTGTACACACACATATATGTGTATGCATGTATAATCATAATATGAGAAACAATGTTTCGTACAGACAGATTAAGAACGAGTGTATTTTATGATACGAAATATAAACTGCAAAATGATTTTTATTTATTTATTTTTATTTTTAGGCATTCGATCCACTATATTCGTCTCATTCCTAACCAACCGTTCGTATGTATGAATTATCTTAATTTCTCGTGTATTTATCTCTCGGGAAACGGAATAAAAATATAACGCATCTTCCTGTTTCAGGTGGCACACCACTTCACTCGGCTGCTTTTAATGGTCACAGAGCGATGGTGGAGATGTTGATAGGCAAGGGAGCCGAACCGAATGCAAAGGCAGATAAAGGTAAGCCAAATCCAGGCATGATTAAGCCTCTTGACTCGCAAGGGTATCAGGAATCGGCGGTAGCAGCGACCTCGTAAAATTCTATCATTCTTATCAGGGAGGAGTTTGTGCTTGTTCATTCAGTAGGTCAGAAGAGAAAGTAAAGGAGACTCCACAATAATGAAGACAAAAATAGAATTAGTAATTACAGAAATTAGTAATGGCAATGGTGGTAATCAGACATGAATAATGGTACAAATGCATGTGGCACCAGTCATCTTCCTCACCTACATTTCAACTCATAACATATATAAATTGATTTAATGTTCCAATTGATATGATCCTATTGTGTTATCATCGGGGTTACGTTCTCTGCTCCACGTTGTCATGTCACTGATTTCGACTCTTTCTGTCTCTCATTAATTTTATTATTATTCCTTTTGTACACATTAGGTATGAAAAATCAAGAAATTTCAAGATAACGTTTGGTGACCATTATCCTTTACCCGAGTTTCCAGATTTATTCAGAGGTGGCATTACGGCAACATGCGCATGCAAATACGCACACACGTATATATATATATATATATATATATATATATATATATATATATATATATATATATATATATATATATGTATATTGTAGTGGATATTTATAAACTCCGTAGAGTTAAAGATGTTGGTTTGGTAGCGTGTTATCCAGCTACAGGTAATCTCCATGTGAGTCTGGCGTTAATTAGTAATGACTCTCAGGTGAGTTTAAGGGTGATTCCGTAGTCACGATAAAAAAACAATAAGACCACTGGCTGACAAAAAGGCAACATAAAAAGGAGCATCCATATTATACATTTATTTCGCACAAAACTTTCAAAAAGAACAAATACACAGGACAACACACCATACACTTACTTGAAAAACACAGAGGCAACCCGCCATAGCCCGAGAAGCACCAGTCAGCCAGCTAAAATCCAACGGTCTGTCACCACACACGAACAAAAGCCTCTCTCCCCTAGACCGATCTGGCTTGACCTTATATACCGGTGGCTATCGTGCTTACTGGGATTTTACCCATAATGCAATTAACTTTGTTAAATAGTGTATGGTGTGTTTAAAATAAGTTAGAAAATACATAAAATAAAAGAACGATAAAACTATACAAAAATGGGCACATAAAGTACGAAAAAGTGAAAGAAGGGATCCGTGAGAGAAAGCGGAGAAACACGAAGGGAAAAACGAAAGAAAAACAAAGCTAAGGTGAATTAGTCGAAGACGAAACGGCAAGAATAAAACAAGGTAAGTATAGAATATAAGGTAAGTAGTGTATAAGTAGTGTCGTGTATAGTAGGAGTAATGTAGATGTAGAGGTAGATCACGGACCAGTGGGAAAGGTAAGTCAAAGGAATATAAAAACACAGGCATATTCTTATTTAAAAAAAAGGCGCAGACACACAGAAAACAGCAAAACCACGTCATCTTGCAGGGCGGAAGAGTCCGTAGATTAATTAGAGCGATCCATAACGTCAGGGAAACAGGCGGCCCGAAAGCCTACGGGATGACCCGCCTACAGCCAGGGGAAATTCACTACATATATATATAATGTATATATATATATATATATATATATATATATATATTATAATGTATATATATATAAATATATATATATATATATATATATATATATATATATATATATATATATATATATATATATATATATATATGCACACACACACACACGCATATATGTGCATGCATGTATAATCATAATAATGTGAGAAACAACGTTTTGTACTGACAGATTAAGAACGAGTATATTTTATGATATCAAATATAAACTGCGAAATTAATAAGTGTCTCTTTTCTTTAGGTATTCGATCTACTACATTCGTTTCATTCCTAACCAACCGTTCGTATATATGAATTATCTTCATTTCTCGTTTATTTACCTTCGGGAAACGGAATAAAAATATAACGCATCCTCCTGTTTCAGGTCACACCACTTCACTTGGCTGCTTTTAATGGTCACACGGCGATGGTGGAGATGTTGATAGGCAAGGGAGCCGAACCGAACGCAAAGACAGATGGAGGTAAGCCAAATCCAGGCATGATTAAGCCTCGACTCGCAAAGGTATCAGGAATCGGCGGTAGCAGCGACCTCGTAAAATTCTATCATTCTTATCAGGGAGGAGACACTCTGGGCAATTCCTTGAGAATTCAAGAACTTCCTCCCATTCTTCCGTAGTTTGTGTTTGTTCATTCAGTAGGTCAGAAGAGAAAATGAAGGAGACTCCACAATAATGAAGACAAAAATAGTATCAGTAATGACAGAAATTAGTAAAGGAAATGATGGTAATCAGACATGAATAATGGTAGAAATGCATGTGACACCAGTCACCTTCCTCACGTACATTTCGACTCATTGCAGTTATAAATTCATTTAATGTTCCCAATGATATGATCCTATTGTGCTATCACCGGGGTTACGCCAGGCTTAGAATGTTATCTATTCTGCGTTATCATATGTCATTTTGTTTTATACTTGCTATTTTTCTATCTCATTTATTTCATATATATATATGCACACACACACACACACACACACACACACACACACACACACACACACACACACACACACACACACACACACACACACACACACACACACACATATATATATATATATATATATATATATATATATATATATATATATATATATATATATATATATATATATATATATATATATATATATATATATATATATATATATATATATATATATATATATATATATATATATATATATATATATAATTTGTATATATGAAAAACTCGCCTCATTTCGGGTGTGACAGTTCCATGTGAATGAAAATGAATGTCACCATTTTTTTTCCCGCTTCAGGGAAATCCAGTTAAAATTTCAAGATAACTTTTGGTGGCCTTTTAATCTACCCGAATTTCCAGATTTATCCAGAGGTGGCATTAGGGCATGCTTTTCACATGTATTATTATTATAACAAATCACATACATAGATACACACATATGTGTGTTTGTGTGTGTGATGTGTTATGATAATAATACATGTGAGAAGCATTTTGTTATAGCAGATTAAGGAGGAAAAACAAGAAAGTAATATTTATGAAAGGAAATTTGATATAAATGCTCTTTTTTTATTACTTTCTTCTGTACACCATCTTCATTCTGCTCCTTTGACTCACGTGCCTGTCTTATGCAATTGCACGAGTGCACTGCCATAATCTCAGGCAATCGAGTCAGAGTCCGTAGCAAGTTTTTAGATGTTCCGTCCTTGAAATCGCTCCGTTTGAAATTCGTCAGTGCAGATCCCAGACACATACAAATATATACATATACATATAATATGCGCCTCTATTCCATGATCATTATCTTCCGTTTTCAGGATGGACTCCGTTACACTTAGCAGCCCACCAAGGTCACGAGGCGGCGGCCGAGGAGCTCATCGTCAAGGGCGCCGATGTGAACGCAAAGGACGAGGATGGTGAGGCAATCTTAAGGAAGACAATTTCGAATTTAAAGATAATATTAAGGGACATATTGAAGGACTTAGATATCACCATTTCCATGATTTTTTAATGAGTTTTACCATGTTATTCTAATAACTATGATCATTATTGATACTATCCATATTATCATCAGTATTATTAATATTGTTATTTCTATTATCCTTTTTTATTTTTTTTATCGTTTTTATCATCATTTTCAATACTAATATCGTTATAGGAAAAACGCCACAGAGGAAAGATTTGGGAGAAGATACTCTAACGATTGAAGGGAATTAAGACTTATAAAGCAAAGGCCACATTAGAAGCAAAAAATAAAAGGATAAATAAATTAAACTGTTAGATGATAACGACTGAATAATCTCAAACATCAAGGGGATCTTAAATAAAACCAAAATCAAGACGGAAGGCATTTTGCTGGTGCTATTCATAGATGGTACGTGGCTTGACTACTTCTATGACTTCAAATATAGCTTCCCGTACGTGGCTGCAAGCATAGCTCCCGGCAAATGGCCACAGGCATTGCTTTCTGTAAATCCCCACAGGCATGACTGTTTGTAAATGGCCACAGGCATGACTTTGTAAATGGCCACAGGTATGGCTCTCGGTAAATGACTTGAAGCATGACCCCATGTAATAGCACACTCAGCCTCCTTTCGGGATATCAGTGGGTCTGGTTTAGTACTAATATCAGCTGGTCATTCAACACGTGTACAAACTAACAACTCCATTCATTTCATTCCTAGCCAGCCGTACATATGTATGAATTGTTTCCTTTTCTCGTTTATTTATCTTTGTGAAAAGGAATAAAAAAGTAAAACGCATCTTCTTGTTGCGTACTTCATTTGGCTGCTGGAAAAGGTCACAAGTGGATGGTAATGTTGCAAGGCAAGGGAGCCAAACCCAATGCAAAGGCAGATGTAGGTAAGCCAAATTCAGGCATGGTTAAGACTCGACTCGCAAAGGTATCAGGAATCGACGGTAGCAATGATCTTGTAAGATTCTAGCTCCTCACGACAGGTTTGATCGATCTGCCCAAGCCACGACTTCCTAGTCGTGGCTTGGCTAGGCCTCCTCCACCCAAGGCTGTCTCCTACAGAGACAACCTGGTGGGCAGGATCATCCTGTGGGAAGCATGTCAGGTGGCCTTATAGCCTGAGTTGGCGATCACGGATTGTGCAGAAAACAGGTCCTGTGCCAGTTTTACGGTGGAAACGTTGACTGGACATGTGGTCCCGCCAACAGTACCCCATGATCCGGCACAAGGACCCATTACAAAAGGCATCAAGACGAGACTCCAAGGCACAAGATAACGTCCAGGTTTCACTACTGTATAGCAAAACTGGCATTATCAGGGCCTTGAAGATGCGTAGCTTGGTCCTTCTGCACAGTACCGGCATCTCCAAATACTCTTGTTAAGAGGGTTCATGACCCCTGCTGCCAGGCCAATCCATCTGCTGACTTCCTGGTCTGACAGCCCAGAGTTATGAACTACACTACCAAGGTATGTAAAGCTCTCTGTGACTTCAAAGACCTTGCCACAAGCAAGTATTGACCGAGCAGGATCTCTTAGCAAGTCTCCAAAGTCCTGGATATTGGTCTTGGTCCAGGAAACCTCTAGACCCAGAGGCTTCGCTTCATTACTAAATGCACCCAGAGCCAACACTAAGATTTCCAAAGATTCAGAAAGAATAGCAACATCATCAGCAAAGTCAAAGTCAGTAACCTTGATATTGCCTACTGTTCAATGGCTTTGAACAGTAGTTCTGCCCAGTATCCACTCCATGCAAGTGTTGAAAAGTACTGGTGCAAGGACACAGCCTTGCCTCATACCTGAACTAACGGGACCGAAGTTTGACAGGCTTGCTATTAGTCCAATAATCCTTGTTGGAATTCCTCTAAATCTCAGGATCTCCCATCGTGATTCCTTATGCACCGTATTGAATGCCTTCTTGAGGTCGATGTAGGCTGCAAGCAGCCCACGCCTGAACTCACAACTGCGCTTTACAGTGACTCGAAGCACAAGGATACAGTCTATTGTGGACTTACCAGGAGTGAATCCATATTGCTCTGGCCTCTGGTGCCTCAGCAGATAGTCGCTGATATGCCTCAGAAGGATGTGGGCAAGAACCTTGCCTGGTATACTAAGCAGTGTGATGCCTCGGTGATTACTGTAGTCTCATTAGTCCCCCTTCCCCTTCCAGAGAGGGATGACCACTCCCCTCATTAGGTCAGGGGTAACAGTACCGGACTACCAGATGGCAGCCAGGACAGCATGCAACCCCCTGCCATATGTTCACCATCACAGTTCAGCTGGGATGCTGGAGATTCCTGCTGTTTTACAACTCCTCAGCTTGAAAAAAACCCCCCCCCCTAACTTCAGTTAAGGAGGGTGGATCCTCACTGATGGGTGGGTCCGGTAATGGAATCTCGGCATTACCTAGATAAATGATGATAAACTGTTCCTTGTCCCCTGTTAACAGTGACCGAGTTCTGCACACCTGAGCGTGGTACAAATCCCGATCCCCTGCAAGACGAACCACACGACAAGCATCTGTGGCTTCCAGTGTTTCCTGCAAGATAAAATTATATATTGCTTTCGGGCGTTCACCAATTGGTTCTTGAGCTGCATCAAGCATTTCACATTTGAAGATGCCACACAGAAACACAGGATCTGTCAGATTTGTGTGTGCTGTGAAACGACCAGAAATTGCCTAAGGAAACCCCTAGGCACACTCCCCCTCCATCAGCTTGTCTAAATGAAACATTCTAGGGAGGTCATCGGACTCCTGGAGAGTTTTGAAGTTGTAGCCACAACCAATCTATGGTCAGTACAACAGAACTCGGCACACCTATACACCTTTCATTTCTGTAGGATCCTCCAACCAGTGCTACCAAGGATGTGGTCGATCTCCTTGGCTGTATTACCCGCATTGCTGTACTACATCCGACGATGTGGGTCTGAGTGCTGGTACCAGGAACCAGAAATCCTTAATTTCTGGGACTTTGTAAAGTCCAGAAAAGGAGGCTATTCTTGGCATCAGCTCCAGAACCATGGGGACCAACAGACAGCCAGCTCGATCACAGCCAGATACTGCATTGAAGTCACCCAGAACAATACAAATTCTCACCAAAGACAACAGTCCGACACAGATGCAAGTTTGGCATAGAACATCTCTTTCACGTCGAGTTTAGAAACATCGGTAGGAGCGTACACAGCACTAAGAAATATGAAGCCAAATGCTAGCTTCAGTCTCAATACCATTATACACTCATCGACCAGAGTAACCTTTACCACCGAGGGCTGGAGATGGCTGTGGCTACTATAATGGTCTCTAATTCAGTTATCCAGAGTCTCACTATACTGAATGGCAGTGTCAGTGAAACGCAGTCTTCGTTGTTGGACACTTTTATTAAAGAGCGTCACGACGTAAGTCAACTGCGGTTGGTGGTAGCTTGGAAAGTAACGTGTCGGTCAGCTTGCCACGGGTGTTGTCCCATTAACCCCAGGGTGTTTAGGAGTTGGTGCAACGCCAGGGCCTGTCCACACGCTGATGGGCCATGACTCTGTAGCTCTGGGGTCTCCTGCTGCTCCGAGATCCCCCACAGTTTAGCCTGGGACCGTAAGGTACCCAGTTTCCCATGGATGGCCATGAGGAGGCATTTCAGAAGTCTCGATGATGGAGAGGCTATGACCTAGCAGGGGAGGCTTGCGCAGAACTGCTTATATATATATATATATATATATATATATATATATATATATATATATATATATATATATATATATACACACACACACACACACACACACACACACACACACACACACACACATATATATATATATATATATATATATATACTGTGTGTGTGTGTGTGTGTGTGTGTGTGTGTGTATATATATATATATATATATATATATATATATATATATATATATATATATATATATATATATATATATATATATATATATATATATATATATATATATATATATATATATATATATATATTATATATAATATATATATATATATATATATATATATATATATATATATATATATATATATATATATATAATGTATACATATATATTGTGCGAATGAATACAAGAGAATTCATAGGCGTACACACGCGTTTCCAGGCACATATTTCTTTGTATACATATATTTACGAGCGTTCATATTACATACATTTAAAGATTATTTCATTCATCTCTGCTTACCACTGATTTCTCTTCGGAAAACAAAAACAAACACAAAAAATAGCGACGTTAACGCAGAGGCAGATGGAGGTGAGGTTATTTTAGATACGAGTGGCGTCATCAAGGTCTATATACTTACATAGACCTTGGGCGTCGTTGCTTCGGGAAGACGTGGTACGGTAACGACATGTTGGGGAGGTCTTGTCAGGGGGGGGGGGGAGACATTCGGGTTGATTATTATTATTATTATTCTTATTATTTTTTTCTTTTTTTTTTTTTTTAATGTGCTCGAGAATCCCTTTGTCCCTCTCGATCACTTCCGCCAGGCCCCATTGGTTGGCCGTCGGAAGGACCCAGTCTCCTTCGTCATCTTTGAGGATCCCTTGAGAATCCTTTGAGAATCCCTTGAGGATCCTCCACTCGTTATTATCGTGACTTCTGGCATTTCTTCCTTATCCTCACTTATTTCATCCCCCCCCCCAAAAAAAAAAAAATGCATTTACACACTTCTTCAAGTCCTACAGCGCGCCCTTAGTCCTTTCCCTTTTCTCCCTCTCCTAGCCTTCACCCTATTTCCTCTCCCACATCCCTCTACCTGCCCCTTTCCCTCTCTCCCTCTCCTTCCATCCTCCTCCATTTAGCTTCTCACACGCCCCTCTTCCCTCCCCTTTCCCCTTATTCTTGAACTGCCTGTGGCCTGTGTCCCTTCCCCTCGCTCCCTCCTACTCCCTGCTTCCTCCTCTTCCTTACTTTCTAATTCCTCCCTTATATATGCGTGTGTATGTATGATGTGTGTATGTGTTTCTCTCTTTATATTCCATCTCTGTATGTCAGAATAGTGCTTTTGAGGACACCAAAGCTACAGATAACGATTCAAGGCGGACTTTATTCAATGAGTTATCTTCCAGCAAGCACCCTATTGCCCAGGCCGAGACAACGTTTCTTTCGTTATAGAAAGCGCGAAGGTCGGGAGAAAACCTTCCAATGAACTGAAGAATATTTTGCGTGGATGAACTCGGCGAAAGCGTCGAATTACCTCATTTCGTACATCGAACCACTTAAAAAATGAATCGAATTGCAAATTTTGATAAGAAGGGCATGACAGTAACAGCTAGAAATATTGGAGCACACAAAAAAAAAGAAGAATAGACTGAAAATGGATAAAATTCAAGTAATATAGAAAACGAGCTAAAATGTATATTCTTTTATCTCTGATAATACTTTCATATCTTGTCAGGGAATACAGCACTACACATTGCAGCTTCCCAAGGCCATCTCCATGTCCTGTTTACGCTGGTGAAACTTGGCGCCGCAACAAACGTGAGGAACGGCCGAGGAGAGACTCCCAAGGAACTGCTGAAAGGAACTTCCACCACTGCAAATTACGACATGGAAATCTTCAATGGCATCTCGCTGGTAATGGCGCTGGAATCTGCTGATAGAAACTTAATCTATATTTTATTGGATTTTTACGATGCTAGCTTGTGTTTCCATACATGGCAAATGATTTTCGTCTTTTT